CCTAATTCTAAAACACTACTGCCTTGTAGAAGGGCCATCAAAAATGCTTTAGATATGACCACAATCTCTATGTAGCCAGATAGGATAAAAGATGTAAAAGAACATGCTATATGCTTGCACAACCATATGATATTCCATCCCCAGTTATACCTTTTGAGAGCAGCACCAACTTTCTGGAAAGGAGCCAACTCCTTATGGTACACCCTATTATATTCATCTTTTCTCCAAATCCATGTCTTTTTTATGAGAATATCATCTCTCATCATAAAACAAAATTAAAATGTACTTGTAGCCTTAGTGACCATGGAACAAAACATACAATTTTGATTCAATTACAGTTTGGGAATTCAGGAAACATTATGAAATGAGAAACATTTTTCATTTTACGCATCTCAAAATCTCCAGATCTATGAGCAGTAAGAAGATTTGACAGCTCTTATTGTCATCAGGATTGGCAATAAAGTCTCCAATTATGAAATTTTTTTGAATCTCATATCTTTAGTCTTCCACTGTGTAGGTGCTGTATCAAATTCTCCCATTTTTTAAGGAGGCTAGAAAGAAAGACAAGGAGAATGTAAGACCAGTGAGACCTATCTCTGTGCCTAGAAGGCCTTCTACAAAGGAGTGACAGCATCAGTGGACAAAGGAAGAGCAAGTGATGACATCTATCTAGATTTCTGCAAGGCCTTTGACATAGTCCCATATTACATCTTAATCTCTAAATTGGAGAGAGATGGATTTGAAGGGTTGAGTATTCAGTGCTTGGGTAACTGGTTAAACAGTCACAGCCAGAGGGTTGTGGTCAATGGGTCTATGTCCACAGGGAGGCCAGTCACAAGTCATGTCCCCCAGGGGTCCAATTTGGGACAAGTTGTCTTTAATATCTTTATCAATGACCAATGATCAATCAAGTGCAACCTGAGTAGATTTGCAGACAACACTGGACTGGTGTTACAGTGGTGCAGTTGATATGATAGAAGGCACGCCATCCAAAGTGACCTGGACAAGCTCAAAAAGTGAGCCCACATGAACATACTGAGATTCAGCAAGGCTGAGTGCAAAGTGTATCATCTCAGTCAGGCAATACTAGATAGATATAGGTAAAGATGGGAGAACTCACTGAGAGCAATCCAGAAAAGGACTTGAGAATTCTGGTGGATGAAAAGCTGGACATGAGGCAGCAGTGTGTGCGTGCAGCCTAGAAAGCCAACAGCTTCCTGAACTGCATCAAAAGAGAGGTGGCCAGCAGGGCGAGGGAGGGCATTGTCCCCTTCCACTCCGCTCTTACAAGGCCCCATCTGGAATACTGCATCCAGGTCTGGGGCTCCCAGCACAAGAAAGATGTGGAACTGTTGGAGCAGGTCCTATTTGCAGCCGTGAAGATGATCAGTGGGCAGAAAAATCTCTTCTATGAAGACAGACAGAGGGTGCTTGGCTTGTTCAGCCTGGAGAAGAGAAAGCTCTGGGGAGACCTCATTGCTGCATTTCAGTACTTAAAGGGAGTTTATAAATAAGATGGAGATTGACTTTTTTTTTTGTGTGTGTGTGGCCCAATAGTGACAGCAGAAGAGTTAAAACAAAAAGAGGTAACATTTATGTTAGATGTTAGAAAGAAATCTTCAGAAGTTTGTGAGGCACTGGAACAAGTTTCCCGAGAGAAGTTGCTGATGTCTCATCCCTGGAGGTATTCACATTCAGGCTAGATGGGGAACTTGGCACCTGATCTGGTGGATGTATATAACTGAACTACATCCTTGCCACACAAATGTTTTTTTTTTAAGTAGAGGTGCCAGCTGTGATTAAAATAATCAAGCATATTTTATACTATGTAGTCCACAAGCAATAACTTGAACCTAGGGCCACATCGGAAAGTTCTCATGAATCTGAAAAAGTGATAGCAAAAAAATACAACTTTTTCATATGGAGACCATTCTGGACTTAGAGGTCTGTCATACATGCCAGTAAGAAATGTTTCTGAGATAGCATGAAATGTAAAACTTGCAGGTAAATTAATAATAAGTGAATATGGGTGCAAAAGCTTTCCAACTTACATTTTTCCCTTCATAGCAATTGTTACTGAGTAAAAATTATAATGAAAACATGACCACTGAAGGAAAATATCAATACCTGAACCAAATAGCACCACATTAAAAGTAGGATGCCTGTGTATTTTTCTTCCAAGAAACAAGTAGTACATCAAGATCTTTAAAACAGGTATAGATTCACAGTGCTTTACACCTCTAAGAGTGAAATATCTTACTCATTTTAACAAGTACTAAAATGAATATGCAAATATTTTTACATGCATATATGCTAACATGCGAGTATTTTCTTACTTAAATGTAGCAACACAAATTAGAAATTCCAATATAATCCATAAATATGAAAATTGTTTCAAAATTATCTCTTACTCTCTGAGATTCCTGAAGAAACTTTCAAAATCCTTCCCAACATCCACAAAAATGGCCTCTGTGTTACAATATTCACCACTTCCTTTTTTTTGTTTGTTTATTTATAAAATAAAAAATGTTTTCTTATTATAGTGCATAGTACACTATTGAATGGAAAACAGAAGTTTGCAGGGCACATGGCACTCAAAGTGATGGACAAAAAAAGGTGCTGTTTGGAAGGCTAAATAATACAATTCCAGAAAAAATTAAAATCCACGATTTAAAAATGTAAGCTAAAGAAATGACTTGAATTCAATCATACGTATTGACTTTGCTGCTTCCCAAAAGTTTATTTCAGAAAGGACTTTGCTGTGGAACTGCTATTTATTTACTTTACAATTAAACATTAGCTAGGTTAATCCACTGCTCAGAGTCTGGAAATTTAGGGATGGCAGTACCTCAGAAGAAAACCTCATCCAACCAGTGTACAAATATAAGATGAAATAAATCAACTATCATGTGCAACAGATACTTGTGTAACCTGTTCTTAAAAATCTGCAAGAAAGGACTTTCTGCTACATCTGTAGTAAAGAACGATCATGTTTCTTTTGACTTACAGATTTGCTACACTTACACCTAAAAAAAAATCTGGTTTGGTTTGTTTGCAGTTCTTTTCTTTCTTTTTTTATTGATTCTTTATTTATTTATGTTTGTTTGTTTTTAATAAATAACCTAGTTACTCCTGGTATACTTTGCCACTCCTACTCTTTCTCCAATGGGCACTGGAACACAATTGATCATCGTCCTCTTTACAACAACATTTTATATATTAGAAGACTTATGACTTGCTCTTAGTACTTTCTAGACTAAACAAATCCAGTTCTTTAAGCTTTCCTCATAGGTCATGTTTTCTAAAACTCCTATCATTCTTACTGCTCTCCTTTTGTCCGTTTCCAATTTGTCTATCTTTCTTAAAGCATGGTGTTCAAAACTGTATACAGCTTTTCAGATGAAGTCTCACCAGTGCTCGAGAGAGCAGAATAATTACTTCCTGCTTCTCCTCCAGCATTACCCAGAATTAGATGTAACTTCACTACAGACCACCATTCCATCATTGCTTCATACTGTTTGAAATACAGATTCCTTTTTTTTTTCCATTATATGGCCTCAGTACAGGTGAAGTCTCCCTTCTAAATGAATTTTTTTTTACTGAATTTCAAATTATTTATTTCAGACTTAAGACAGAAATTACCAATCAGGTGATGATTAGGAAAGCCTACAGAGCAAAGCAAATAAATAATGCACTGGGATAAATAAATAACAAAGAAATTTCATTACTTTCAATACTTTATAATGACAACATGTTATTAAATCTATTAACTATCCTACCATAGGTAATAACTGTAATAATACTAAAGTGTTGTTTTCCATATATAAATATGAAAGTTAAGCAGATGCGTTATTTTTGGTGGATCTGGTCTTAAAGCTTTCCAGAAAGAAGAGCTCTGCTATTTACTGTTTTAAAAATATCAAAACAACAAAATTTTTGGTCAAAGCAGCTCCTTCACTCAGATGTCTCAAACAAAAAGTACTGAGCCTGCACATTAGACACTTAGCAAATTTCTTCCTATCAAAGGAACTGCAGCATTATCTGAAGAACAACACTGAACTATTATAAAGGACAGTGCAGTAATCCTAATCAACCACTAAATATTGTTACCTCTTAATTCCAAACAAATATTGTATAAATATTATCATTTTAAAACTATGATAATGAATTTATTTTAATAATTGTGCTTTACTTTTCCCTTAACATTCAAATTATTAACATTACAAAATATCAACAAAATCAAATGAGTTATGTATTTCCAAAATAAATGTTCTGATTTACAAAATTTGTGTTTATTTATAAATAAATATTGAAATTCACAAAATCAAGCCAGTGTTGGACTTAGGAATATTATTTTTTCTATATGTAAAAATTTCAAAGCTAGCATGTTCAATTAATAAATCTTTTGAGACCATCTTATTAGGACAGTCTTGAAACAGAGGACTTGAAGACTAATAGTAAAAGAGTGATTCGTGAGCAGTTTTTCAATACAACATTCTGGAATTCTGTTTATTGTGCCTAGTGAAAAATGTGTCTCTTCCCTTTAATCTATACCTGTTATTTTATAGCTTTATTGTTTAAATAATGAAAAAATATTTTCATGAACAGCTTAGAACTAGTGGTTTACAAGATACCAAATGGAAATACTGTATAAGTTTTAAAGTACTAATTATTTCTCCATTTACTTTAAATAAGCTCCCAAAAACTCCAAAAATTGCATATTTTTGAAATCAATTTAAGTAGGCCTTTGTAATTAACAAGTTCAATTCTGAAATGCTGAAAAAGTATCTGTGAAATGTTTTTAAAAGGATAGAGAAATATAAGATCCCAGACATAACACTGAGATTCTTTTGAGTTGGAAACAAATGCCACACCTACTAGTTTCTGTTCAAAGAACACATCACTAATATTGCTTGTTTTATTTGTGGAATATTTGTTTCACCTTGAGATATCAAAACTGCAAAATTACAGAAGTGAAGCATAGAAAAGAAGGGACTGACCTGATCTGGAGAGGGTCTGTGGTTGGAGTGTTGTGGCCTCCCAGGAGATCGGTGATGGTGATGGTGGTGATGATGGTGGTAGTGGTGATGGTCATCATCATAGTTATCTGCCATTAGTTTCATTCTATTTTGTGTCTGTTTAAGAGGGACAATGAAAAAATTTAATACATGCTGGAACTTATTAATTAGCAGTGTTTGGCAAGATCCTAGCTCTTTGTTCACTCTTTTTTTTTGGTGGTAGCTGCAAGGATCTAACAATAGAAGTCAGGATTGCTGGCTCAGAAACAAAAGGAAACAAATAGAGAAAGATAACAAAGCATGTGAATATAACTGTCTCAGTTTTCACTTACACAGAATAACACAAAGAAATCAGAAAAGGACATGATTCAGGATGTTATGTTCAACAGGTGTCAATGAAGACACTGAAGTTTTCTAAATTTACTATTTTAGAAGAGTTGCCTATTTTCCAGTTTATTACTATGTTTCAATAATTCTCTACATGGAAACCACTTGAGTGAGTCGTGCACAAACAATACACTGGAAATAGACAGTTTTCTATTGACATTAAATTTAGGAGTATGAAGTCAATTGCAAAAATTCACAGTTCCACTTGTGCCCCACGGTGGCAGGACACATACAGAGGGACACTGAAAAGCACATTACCCCAAGATTTTGCTCAAACTGATCATTCCCAAATTGAACAGGTGATTTTAAACACCACTCATTAATTTGTGTATATTCCTAGGCTAACAGGCCTAATTGGATTCCAACTGGTAATGTCCATGAGATAACTAGCAGCTTATATCCAATATTTTGTAACTAGTCTTCAAGAATTCAGGTAAATACATTCTCCTACGAGAACAATCCTATACCAAAATTTCTGCTAGGAAAACTTCACTGGTAAATATACTTTAATAGAAAATGTAAAAACTGAGATTTCAATTAAGTTCCTTGAATTCAATTAGTTTTGCTGAAGTAGAAAAGAGATTTTGAAAAACAAACAAACAAAACAAACAAACAAAAGAGAAAAATAAAAAAGCAAGAAGAGAAAACCAAATATTCTTACTACAACATATTTGCACTACAAAAAAAATGTAATGAGAAGAAAACCATGAGCCACTGGGATCACACAAAATCCTAAAATGTCCTCTTTGCAACTAATTTTGTTTTGAAATATTGTAATGCTTCTCATTACATGCACATGATGACCATTGGGGAACAGTAATAAACAGATTTCGGGAGGGCAGTAGCAGTCAGTTCATGTTATTGCAGACACAATAACAAGCCAGAGGAACACTGACAGTTTGGATATGGGTATGTTTGAACCAGTGTTCATTGCTTTCTAACCATCACTGCAGCTCCTTTGCTGCGGGCATCTTCCCTGCCTCTTACAATATAGATTTCATCCATAAGTCAAGAGGTAGATTCCTTTGAACAGGAATTGCACAGACTCTGTGGGGTATCATTTCACACTTTTAAACACTATTTTCTGCACAGCTGGGATAATTCCATTTTTTTCATCCTAATTAAGAAGACAAAAGCATTGACCTGTAGAATTTTAGTCGTGAATTTGCTGATTTTGCCACAAGGCCAACTCAACCTGAAACACCATTAATTTGTTTGACTTAATATTTAAAGAGGAAGTCCTTTTGAACAATAGTGGAAAAGACAGAGAATTAATAAATAATAACCCACTTATTGTAAACACTGTAATATTCTGCCTCTTTGGGGAAGCTCCTGAGATTTTATCAGTTTACTTTCTTATCAATGAACAGCCCTAAATTTCCTACCTTTCAACTGTATCCCATAAAAGAATGCAAAAGTTAAACAAGATGATATATGCAATCCTAAAAGTGTCCCTTGTAATGAGGTGTTGGGGATTAGATGTGTCATGGGATAAGAACTGTAAATGAATGATGTCATCTTTCTAATTTGGTGCTGAAATATAAATAAACCACTTCTAATGTTTCCTCCTTTTGGATGCCAGATTGCAGTAAAGCATCCACAAAGAAAGCGTTAATGCTGCAGCAGGCTTCCTTTAGTTGTTCTGCTCTGAAGGCAAAATGCTTACCAAATACAAAATGAAAAAATGAAAAATGAAAAGTTGATTTTGCTTTCAACTCATACACTCATATACTGTGCATACATTTACATGACTTTTTATTGTTAATTGTTTCTTAAAATGATGCTAAATCTATGTTTTTCTTCATAGCTTTTTCTTTCTATTTGTTAGTACTTCACAATGGTAACTGGTATGACTTTCAGATTCTGTTTCTTTTTACTTTGGCTGCAGACAAAGAGTACTTCAAAAGTAAACTGTGTTTTCCAGATATGCTACCTATTACTTAAACAGCAAAAAATATGATATGATTTCAAGCTTTTCCAACTGGGATTTCTAGGGATGATGAGGAGGATTTCTGGGAAGGAACAAAACTGAAGGCATCCAGAAAATTAAGAGTAACAATAAAATCCCTTTCATGTCCTTCTAAGTAAAACTCTGTGCCATTACTTCCATCTGCTTCCCTTGCTAATTCTTTTAATGGTTAGTAGGCGATGAAATGTCAGGTATATTTTTATTTGAGGAAGAAATTAATTAACTACACTGGAACTCATTCAGGACCGCAGGGCTTCACACCCCTACGCATACATATAAGCACAAACACCAGCACATAGAAAGGGGGTTTTATTCACTATGTGTTTTAGGACATTGGCTCATCAGACAGACAGTAACTGCTCCTGATCACAGTCCTATATCAACATATTAGATCATCACTGCAGTGCTGACTGATGGGGAAATGTACCACCTGCTTACTTGATAATGCTGTGATTTCCTGCATCATCTTCAGCATACTTGAAAATTTCAAGTTCAAAGATAAAGCAGATTTTTTCTTACATTACTTTTGAAACAGATTCCTTAATATGACTTTTCAGGGTTGTTTGGAAACTCAGACTTGGAATTTGCAATTCATAAAAACTGTACACACATTCAAGCTGTGTCAAATCTCATCTGCACCATTTGTTATTCTACACGAATTATACCACAACGTGTTGTGTACTTTCCATACGTATCACTGCAAATTATGTCATATTCTGTGAATTAAGAAATCATTCTTTCTTACATTCTTATTTACAAATCCTTTGATACAGAGCATGACTAAAATTTCCTGAAACCCCTTCGTCAATTACTTTATCAAACAGAATATTGGAGAATATTTATTTGCAAAATTTTGGCTATCTCCCAATAGTTTCATTATTTGTTTTCATTTTTGATAATCATTGACCCTTCTTTCCATAGTAAATATTTTCTAATCTAATTGCTCTGAGTGTATCACAAATGGCCAAATCAACATAAGTTCATGCCTATCAGTTTCCTACAGTGGAGCTCATTCTTCTCAGAACTTCACTGCACACCACATCTTCTCTTGTGCTCATTACAATTTTTCCTCTAAAAGACAGCAAATTTGTTTTGCAATCTGTATTGGAGATATGGGCTGCTTTCAATACAAACAAAGAATTAAGTTTAAGTCAGCAGCATGAATAGAAATGACCTCTTGGAATTCAAGGGCTTTTTTTTTGTTTTTTTTTAATTGAATGTCTTCCTCAACAATCTCAGTGATCACGCTGTAATCACAATTCAGAGATACACATTTAGTTTGTTCTATTGTCCAGCATATTAACATATTGCTTTAGGTTTCTAAATATTATGTTTTTATGTGTGCTTATGTATACACACACATTTTTATAAACTAATTTATGTACGTATGAATTATTTCTTTACCAGTGAAATATAGCAAAGACTTCAGACCCACAACTGCTTAGGCGATTTCACAATTTTAGTTCTTTCCTAGATACTAAAACCAGTTTCTCTTGAGGTTGAAAGAATGATGAGTAGTAGCATAGGTTGGATTTTCTGAAATTAGAAGCACTGTGATACACAAACTTGCAGAGAAATACTGAACAGGTGACCATCTGATTTCAGATAGACTGGCTCTCAGCAGTTTCAAGCATTTTCTTGAGACTGAGGTTTCCAAACCTCTCCCTTATTTCATTTCATTTTACACTGCTGAAGGATGTGCACTGCATTCTAACACAGATGTTGACAATAAAATCCTAAATTCTGTCTTTGATGCGAATCTGAACTAATTTAACATAAATTAGTATGCCAGGTTTGATCTGTGAACTCTAGCAGTTTAGAATGCATTTCCTGTATGGAACACATCTAAGAAATAATAATAAAAACACATATACAAAAATAATTAAAAGGCAAGGAACATAATTATTTTTTCCCCTGCCATTTTCAGCATGTGTCAGTTTGGTTTTGGAACATTACCTGAAGTTAATGATAAACTAAAATAGATAAGCTACAACTTTTAATTTCCTGTTTTGACCATTTATCACATGCTGAAAAGGCACATCTCTAACAGCAGAATTATCATTAGCTTTTTTTTTTTGAAAATGCCAGGTGAACATCAGGCCCACACCCGAGAAGGAACCAGTTTTAATTAGGATTTATATAAGGAATGAAAATAAAAGTAAACTTGTAAAATGCAGCAATATAAACTGCATCTCCTACAGGCAATGTATACCCTTATTAGAGTTAGCCTGAATAATGTCTTCAGGGTTTTGTTTTTTTTAATTTGTTTTGTTTTGTGTGGGTTGTTGGTTTTGTTTGTTTGTTTGCTTGCTTTAAATTTATTTCTATGTTCAATAAATGCTGCATATATTTTGGAAAAAAAAAAAAAAAAAAAAGGAATGATAGAGGAATTAGAAGGAGCTTAAATGTAGGTGCACAGGTATATTAACCTGTGGGGCTCAAAACAGTTGTCATTGATCATTCAGTATCACTATTTGCTAAGCTGTCAAGGTCATGAATGGTATGTGTAATTGAATTTCTAACCCTCTTACCAAGAAATTTATGATCAAGCTCTGTACAAAAACTGACAGATATTTCTTGTCCTTCTAAAATTCTGTAGAGTTTAAGTAAGGATCTACAGAAGTAAAATGAAAGACTTTGATTGACTGGCAACAGACTCAATAGCTTAACAACAATCTGTAACTGTAAAAATATAATATTAAAACCATCTTTTAAAAAAATATTTTAGCAAGGTGGCAATAGGCAACTATGCTTTGATGTG